TTGCCTCGCAATGGAAAATTTATTGTGTCCGTGTAAACAGAATTCCAGAAGCAAAAATCGTATTTCGAGGTTTTGTGGCAGTACCATGAGTGTAGTGCGTGAGAGTGTTTTAATCATTTATAATTATTAATACAAGAATTAATTAAACGGAAACGGAAAAAAATATTTTGGGTTAAAAAATGTTTTGTTATTAGTTTTTATAATTCAAACACTCGTACCTTCTAAAAAGTTCAATTAACTTAATATTACCCGCAGCCCCATAATTAAAAGGATTTTTGTGTCATTTTTGAGTAATCACTAAACTCGAATGAAACATCTCGCACTCAAAACGGTTCAAACCGATTTGTACGATACTCGTATGAACATAAAAAAATGTCATACAAGATCGTGTTTATACTAGTCGAGATTCTCATAAGTTAGAATCTTCTTACTAAAATGTCGATGTGTAAACAGACGCAGGAAATTAACGCCTAACGATAAATCACTGGCGATTCTCGTATGTCATAATCGTAGGTGAGAATTTAGTTCTTGTCTGTAAGTAAACATTTTGATACGATAAAAATTTCTCGCACCAAAACGTTCGAAGAAACTCTCTCCATCTAAATGGGCCTTAAGACAATCATTCTGTCAATGTTGTAGCATAGCTGAACTGTCTAGACAGTAAAACTCATGTCAAATGCAAATGCGTAATAATAACAATACAATGTAATGCATTTGGAGTATACTGTCGTAAGATTGACAATTTAAATGGAAATGTAGCTGAAACTTTCAACAAATAATTGAGAAAGTGTAGAGATTTTCTCCTGCTTCGTTGAGTGGTGTTCGGATTTTATTGAACATTTGTCAACCGCTGTCACCGCTGAAACGTTCACATACACATAGGATAGCTCACTAAAATAATATTAAGTGAAAGTGAAAGTAGTATATAAAGGGACGAATAAACAGGTTTGTAACCTATAATCTACACAGTAATAAAAATAAAAATTGATTAATATAAAAGTTTGGTCCCTGTCCACCGTTCGCCGTATTGCGATAATTATTCGTTGAGAACCAACTCTAGGATCGTCGGTAAAGTAAATTAAGTGTAATTGATACACAATTAATCAGATTTAAATATTTCTGTCTTATTCATTTCTATATTACTTATATAGGCTCAGAGAGATGTCTGTATAGTTAGTATTTACATATTAGCTATTTACAATATTTAATGTTCTTAGGTTCTTAGTTATCGTCAATATTTTAATATATCGTAAATACTTCTGACACTTATCACACATACATAATCAATCTTTGCGCCCTTTAAATTGGGATTTTTTGTGAAATGTGAACACCACCTTATGAGATAATAAAATGGTTGGATTGGATATTTCGATTTTATTTTTAGACAAACCTGGCTTTAATTGTTCGAAACATTACCCTTCACTTAATGTTTTTTCTAATGTTCAGTTAGTTGGAATTTATTGATTTTAACACATGTGAAAAAATTGTTTTCTCTGACTTATCACCATCCTTAAATCAGTATCAAGAGTCAAGATATAAAAATAAAAAATATTAATATGGTTGTCTATGAAGTCGGTTTACGGACGATAGTTAACGTGACAACGTCATAAACATTGATAAAATTATTTTTTTATGAATAAATTCGAATTTTATTGAATTTCCTAGACAAAAAAAAGAAAAAGTGAAACCTCGACGCAAGGCCAAACGAGTTTAAGAGAGATAACTCCATCTTGTTTTAGACAATGTCACTTCAAAAATTACTATGAATGCCTGAAATTTAATAAAAAATCTTCTTTTATTAATTTATTAAATCGACCAATTTGGCATACAAATCAGCGTCCCCGTAGTATAAAGGCTTTTCGCCAGATTAAGCTATTACTCATAAAAATTATGGTTATCGTTAGTAATGTTAAGTAATGTAAAAAAAATCAGTGCAAACACGTTTACATTACATTGTTTAGTTTATATTGTGATCTGTTAGTATTAACATAACCAGTTATTGCATGTGAATATTATGAAAGTCATACATTAATTGCATCATACTGTTAATGGTATAGTCATGGTGTCTTTAGAGATCCCTGGCCATTCAACATATTCTCTTGTACCTATTATTTACTTATTAAGCACTACATCACATATAATACAATTACTACTTGTTACAATTGTTTAAAAATATATGACAATTAGATGAACAAAAGATTATAAAAAAAATATTAATTTATTTCCTTATTTTCTATTTTTACAATAACAACAGAAAACTAATTAATATAAAAATAAAACTAAAGAAAATATAAACGAAACGTAAAAACCTAAATCTTTTATAATTAATTATAAATAATGCAATTCTTGTGAATTCAGCCAGTGTGCATCTAATCCGTCTCACATGCAATAATATTCAGGGTGTGCAAGACAGGCGTAAATAGCGCTTCCCTGAGTAAATTGGTACGCGCTCGCGGCACTGCAAGCAATTGTAATTATTTATCCCCAGTTTCTCCAACATTTCCGCATTATTCATTCTACCTCTAAGGACCTTAAAAAATATTATTTGATAGTAAGGTCCCTCCTTACCTCTAACTTGTTGTATCCTACCATACCCAAGACAAACAAAAATGGAATATTATATTATACTTACAAAAGAGAATTTAACTAGACTCTAAAACCCATACGGTAGCAAGTGTTTTATAGGTAAATAGCAACAGACTAAAAATATTGCTAAACCGAAAACACTATCTCAAGTAAACAAAAGTTGAATAATGGAAAGCTAAGAAAAACTTATCAAAATTAAGATTTGCTTAGGATTGAAGTATTATAAAACCTAATTTGAAACTTCTTTCATAAAGAATCGATATTATTCCAAAGAAAATTCAGCCAAGATTATTTTTGACTAGACAAAATAAGAGAAAATCCAGTTGGCTGCCCGCTACCAAATGCTTAACAATGTCATATGTTAGTACATATTTTATTTTTAGATATTGGAGAATATGTTTACGTTCAGTCGGTCACTTAAATAGTTTGTACATGAAAATAATTTATATGAACAAAAAATAATAATTTCAAAATGATTAAATGATGACGTAGGACTTAAGAAATGAAATAAATCAAATTAATACTAGGAAGTAATAAATATGACTTATTTGTCAGATAAGTTAATTTTATGCAGATTAGTTTCTTTATTTTTTGTGTAAATCATTCAACGGCCATCTCGTGGACTATTCTCCTAAGATCATCCTTTTACCATGTGCAAATATATTGCATTTTAATTTATTACTCCTTAAGCTTAAATTCAAAAGAATTTCTAGCATCGTAAAGTTTAAATATTCACTGTCTTCGGTTTCAGTCGGGGTTTTGGCCTCTTTACCAAAGTTTCGTTATAAACTGTTATTTATTTAGCATCAGATAAAGAAAAGGGCAACTTTTTTAATATTAGAATTATTTCTTTTACATATCTAATGAATATTATATCAGAACAATAGTACATAAATACAAATAGTATATCTAATAGAGTACAAAACTATGGCACGTTTCGTTTGGTTGTGATTGGTAAAACGGATAGTGTTGCGTGTCTGTGATTGGCCCGAGATTATGTTGACCAATAACAACAGCTGATAATGCCTTGAGCTGATGAATTATATCTAAGAAATATATATTTTAAGATTTTATAACGATACATAGTAACGAAAGCTATATACAACTTCTTGAATTCAAATGGGATAATTTATAAATAATATTGTATAATGCAACATGTTATTCTTGTTGCATCATGACAATTACACATATTTTAATAATTTAGTAATCTATCACTAGTGGATAGTATTTTTATTATTAACACGCTTATATTAGCTTCACCTGTATGTATGTATGTAACCGACTCCTTCGGACTCGATTTTGACCCAATTTTAACAGACAGATTTAATTCAAACTTTGCGCACCTGTCAAAGGTCGATGACAATGCAATAATCCGAAAAAAAAAAAATTAATAAATAAAAAAAAAATAATAGTTTAAAAAAACTGCTTTATATAGAAAACTAAACTAAAAAAACAGAAAATAAATTTTAATAAATATTAATTAAGAGTAATGTAAAAAAATTTAATAAATATAAGTTATTAATAGTTTGAATAAGAAAAAAAAATGTTTTATTGTAAAAAAAGCGTAGGGTGCATGGTGTCAATAGTTATGAATATTTAATTGACAGATATGAGAAGGATTAATTATCATTTCGATAATATCTTGAAAAGCACCTATTATATATTGTTTCCTCATTTTAAAAAGATATAAATGTTAGTCTATATATGTATAAGTTTATTTTAGACATATAAGCTTTTCATTTTATAATTCAAATTTACGAAATTATATATTTAGGCGTCCTTCCCCGGGATGCTCAGCATCCGGTGGTGGATAAAGAGGCTGCCCTTTGTAATCTTTGGGGCAACTCTGCACTAATAACTGAAAAATAACTTAAAAATATACGCAGTGAAAATTTGATCTTGGGGCGGATGGAGCAAAGCTGCCAAAGCTGTCCAAGGAAATTTTTGTCAGACCTCCATTCCACCACTGCACAGGGAGGATGACTCGCTGGCCCACACCGCGAAGGAGAAAGTTAGCAACGGAATACTAGGTTGATACATCGAATGACGTTCAGTTTCGTGGTCATTTGGAAAGCAAGGCTAAATTTGCTTAGGAAGTTTGGTGTGCAGCAAGGACAGACGGTACTTCAATCCAGGCCACCAATCTAAATCGACAATTCTTAAAATGCCGGCAACGCACTTGCGAGGGATCTGGAAATGTGTCCAGGGGCGGCGGCGGTATCACTAAACATAAGGTGAGCCTGCCGCCGTTATGTAAAAAAAATTGTGGCTAAGATATGACAAGAAGTAAAATAATAATTCATAAAACAATTAAGTACTTTATTTATTCGAAAGTTACACGTTTTTACATAATGCCCAAACTAAGATCTACTACTACTAGAAGTCATCTTATTTTCTTCATTTTGGTGATGCTTCTAGTCACCTTTCTTTTCAACTTTGATGACAATAGTCTTATAAACGAATAAGAACCAAAATATAGCAGAAGATACGTAGAACATTTGTGAAAACAAGTTAAGTCTTAACGAAGGTACTAGGGATGTAGCAGTGATGAGTACGAGACAACGTAATAGCTCCAAGAACGGCGCTTTTGGGGAAGCGTCCAGAATCATTCCAAATACCGTGAGGGAGCCGAGGAGGTAAAGAACGAAAGCTAAAACGGCAACTGGTGAAAGACTCTGAAAAAAACAGACAAAATTAAAATTGAAAACGAAGAGTATCTTCTTATATCACTGAATGTATTTCCGAGAATTGCCAGAATTCACTGCACGCGTATTATTTGACAGAAAATCGACCTTAAAACGTAAAATATACACGTTTTTTTGCAAAAGAGTTTATACGTATGTGTTTGGTTTACGCGAGATTTAATTAAAACGTCTTAATTTACATAACATTTTTTTTTGTACAAGCTATTTTAAATGCTTTGAAGATGTTCTGTGAAATGAATTTTAAAAAGTTAGCCACTTTTAGAGTTTGATCTCTTTATATTCATCCATCGAAAACTTTCAAACAATAAAGCCTTACGAAAAGTTCTTACATACTTTGAAAATGTTCCAGGGATTATGTTTCCGATGAGAATATTTTGCATTGTTTTAAGGCTTCATTTTAAACCAATCGTTCTATAGAACAAATTATGACGAAGCATGTTATAGATATGAACTGCTTCATTCAAATAATGACAAATTCTCTTTTATATGGTTTGAAACGATAACGTGCATGATCATGGCCATCTATTTCACACGATGCGAGCAGTGTTACTGGGTGTGGCGTAGTGAATTATTCGTGCCCTAATCGTGCGTGCGTTCCAATCAGGGCGCACGAAAGATTTTTTATTTCTATTAGTGCATATCTTAAAAAACCTAAAAATCTACTCGAATATTATTATTATGAAACATCACTACATTAAACATTGATTTTATACTACCAGGTACAAAATACAATTCCTATGACTAAAAAATGCTGGAAACGAGCTGAGAGTTGAAATGTTGGGGTACTGGAGTACTGGGGTACTTTACCAGAATAATTTTATAAAGAACACTTTAGAATATGTCTTAATGTATATAATATGCCGCATACCTCTGCGATGATTCTTAATAAGAGAATTCCGAAGTATGAAACTATATTTTCCAATATTACCAAACTATGACATTTTATATAATGTTATTATTTTACTGAAATCTTCCTTGTTCTCTAAAGAGAAACAATTAGGCAAGATCTTTAGATTTCAATTGTTTCTAGATCTTGTAACAGTAGAAATGAATGGTCAAGTAATTAAACATTTTCCTACTATTGCATCCTATGGTGGAAGTGACCAGTGTTGTAATTATATAATATCGATATGAGAGTTCCTTGTTTTATTAAGCAATTGATATTTTTTTTTATTTAATGTTACTTATAGCTTATATCTTGTACAATACAAAATTGATTTGACAAGGCTTGATTTTAAAAGGAAATTCTAGTGTCAATATTATTTGCACTTGAAGTCGTTTGCCTATTGAGAAAAAATATAAAAGACAGTCAAAGACATCTGAGAAAAACACTAAATGTATAACACCTTTAATATTTCATATAGAACTTAGATAAAAGGGCTAAAATAAGACCTTATACATATTATTTGTCTAGTAATAATCTAGTAATACATATTGTTTATATTTAAAACTACTCGAAACACTGTCAAAGGGCATTGACATCAAGAAATAAAGATACTAGATAAGCTTATTTATGAATTATTGACGTATTTAAACGACTCGTAATTTATGCCAGGTAAACAGGTTTTACCGGGAGTACATCAAACATTTATACAATAATTATAAATCTGAAGAGTTTGTTTGTTTATTGAAATCGCTTTTTGGAATTGGAAGATCCCATTTTTGTTAATTAGAAAGGCTATAAGGTATATATGACACAACGATCAAATGAACGCGTGTACAAAAGTCAAAAATCATTTAATCATATAGGTAACACAATGTACACTTATGAACGTCAAAAAAAAGAAATGTAGGTATATGAAATGCTCCTAACTTTACATTTAGTGCCAGTTCTCAAATCAAGGGCATAGAACGGAAGAGAAGAACTGGCAATAAACTCTCCGCCACTCTTTTTAATCGCCATGTTTTTTTTACACAACGTTTGTAAGGAGCTGCAACCATTACACCATGTTCCACATGACATCTTAAGTAATTAATAATAATAACATAAATTAAAAACAAAGACTTGTCCTCTATCAGCAGGAGGCATGGTGAAATAGGAGCACGCACTTACATTGTCGTGGTAACAACACGCAAACACATAGTCGAAATAACTAACATCACCGCATACACGAATTCAAGTACGACCAGTCACCACAAGTAGCACCCGTTCACGAGTATGACGCATGGCCAGCGAAAACCGATCGCACGGCTTGTAAATTGTAATTAATATGTTGCTAGAGACGATGGCAAGCGGCCAGATGTCGTTGAGCCCTTGGAAGATGGGACGGGCTTTCTTTCGTATGGGATGTTTAGGTTTTATTTAAATAAATGCATAATATTCATATGATGCTTATTAATATACTTACCAAATGCAACGTAAAGAGCCGATAGAATCCGAATAACACCAACGCGTAGTGGCACAATAGGTAGGCGGTACACCATTTTGGAAGAATAACGTCGTATTTTACTCGAAGTTGAAGATCCGGCTGGTAAAAAAGAATATTCTTATTAATATTAATAATTAAGCAGTTTTGGCTTATTGGCTTGGTGCTACTCTCATTCCTACGTTTCATTGTCCGCATTTAACACTAGATCGTATGGTGAAGGAAAAAGTTGAAAACCCGACATGACTTAAACCCAAAACGTCGAAGGCGTGAGTCAGGCACCTACTTGTCTATTAAATTATATGATCACAAAAGAGGAACTGATGTCTGAGACCAAGACCAAGAGTTTTATAGTGGATTTATCAATTTAAGAAATTTTGTTTTCTTGCGAAAATATGCCGAATCCTACTTGCATTTCGAAAAAAACGATATCACTTGTTGTGTTATCGCCTGAAGGACTAACCAACCCAGTGTCCGGCATAGAAGGTGGATTACCCCTATGGCAAATTATCAAGAAAACTGTACTGTAACTGATAGAACTGGGGTGAGAAAGGGTAAGGTTGGTAGCGCAACTTTTTATAGCACGCATAGTTTAGGTTCGCTCAAAGCACAATCATTGAAGCAACATTGACTTAGTATTTTTTTGAAGATAACATATAGTTTAAGAGTTTTAGAGTTTTTTTAGAGAGGAATTTATAAGTCTAAAAAAGTATTGAAATTTAAAAATACTCACATCTTCAGGCATATCTTGGAACCGTACGTAGTTCTCAGGTTTCCAACTAGGTCGGTTAAATACAGCTTGAAGTTTATGACTCCAGGTTGTGTATTCCTTGAATTTAGCAATTACGTACTTGGTGTAAAATGTCTGCAAAAGACACATAAAAGTAAGTTATTAACTATTAGATAAAAACGCATTTAGAACAATTATACGTGAACCCGCGGGACCGTTTTAATTTTCAAATAAAGAAATGTAAAATCGTGATAAATAAAGAATTTAACACGTTATATGTAGTTATTAATTTCCTTTTTTGATCCTACTAATATTATAAACGCGAAAGTTTGTAAGTATGGATGGATGTTTGTTACTCTTTCACGTAAAAACTACTGAATGGATTTTAATGAAACATTACAATAATATAGCGTATACATCCGAATCACACATAGGCTACAATTTATAAAGATATTGTGTGAATTGTCCAAAATATCAAGTAAGTAGGAAACAATCTACCATCTGCGAGCTATACTGGCGTGGGCTGCCAAAACCGAGTTACACATATGTATGATGGAAATGTTTATCTTAAATAGTCAATATCTTTAGTAGTCTTTTTCTACGCTACGCTAATATAAGCTACTCGAAATACTAATTAAAATATATATTTTAGTACAATAGGGCTGATTTACTAATAAATGCTTCTGTAATTTGTAACTTAGTAAAATTATCTCTTTCTAAGCATCTATTTAGGCTTTTCAAACGAGTTGTAATATTGTGATGAAGTGCTAAAAACTACTTAACAAGTACCGCATAGTTGTACTTGATCACGATGCCTCGACATCAAATGTCTACAAAATGTTTCTAGTATACCTGTAAGTGAATAGGATTGAAGGAAGGTTGTTGGTAAATAAGACCGTAGACAATCCGATCAGTGTCCTTCTCAGCTCTGAATGTACCGAAGATCTTATCCCAGATAATAAGCACTCCGCCGTAATTGACATCAATACAGTACGGGTTGCTGCCTGCAAAGTATTTTTATTAATTAAAATTTAAATAGACTAGCAAAATATTCACAAAATTTGCGCTTGTTTTATGATAAAGTCCTATAAACCAATTAGGAACAGTCCTTTATACGTCTTTATTAGCCATATTGAATGTACATTTGGATTAGAAGCAAGTGGTGTATTTTGTGCCGACTTATTTCTTTGAATTTAGGATCGTAAATAATAAGAAATCTATTGGTAAACCTGAACTGAAGTTTGAATGACCTTATAGAAACTTGACTATTACACGCTTCATTGTCTAACAGACTTCCAAAACATTGGAAATTACTAATACATGAGGTCAGAATAGTGTCGAAAGGAGTGTTCAAGGTCTGAAATTGAAAAATAGAGTAAAACTAGAAAAAAAATAAAGGACATGACAAAGTTTAGAAATGCTCTTACTTTAAGTAGAAGATTGAAATGGAAAGGGACAGGACGCATTATGAGAGAATGGCTTCCTCGCTGTGACAAAAGAAAACGAGGAAGACAAATAAAAAGATGGGAAGATGATGTGCGAAGAAAGAGACAGAGAAGCTAGAAACAGAGAAGAGTGGAAGCCTCTTAGAGAATGCCTATGTCCAAGGACAAGCTGTATAACAGAAATCAACCGGCTTGCTGATTAATTATTAGTGTTAATTTTTTAGTACTAATATAAGTAATTACAACAATAAAGGCTTTTATTGTTAATATAAATACATGAGGGACAATGTATGTATTATATTTGCTATCAAAATTGGTCTAACATGTAAAAAAAAAATACTAAAATTGAGAGACACTAAAAGATGACACCTGTATATAAAGGAAATAATAAAAATTATAACAAATAGATTTTTACCTTTTAAAGAAATTTTACGCAGTATGAAATTTTTTTACGAGGCTTACCATGGTGAATCCTATGGTGACTGGGGGTGTTTAAGAAGTATTCCAACGGGCCGAGACGATTAACAGCTTCCGTATGTATCCAGAACATGTACAAGTAGCTGAATTGGTGGTGGACCATAAATTGGGCTGGTGGGATTGCCAATGCCAGTGGGAGATAGAACGCCTAAACATAAGTACATTAAGTTATTTATATAAATGAGTCGGCTATTTTTATATATCTAAAGAACGACGCAACTCAGGTATAATTTCTTTAAAAACTAAACATAAACGATACCAACAAAAAAACTGTGTTCTGTTCATCAGTATGTTTTAAAGTACAGTTATGACGTACATGAATATTTATTATCATATTAACAAAAAAATTAGGCCATTGAAAAAAGAGTAACATTAGTGGAAAAATTTTGCCTGTGATTTTCCGTGCGTGCTTGCATGGAAGCTACAGACTCATTACGTAAATCGGATAGGATTATAACATGATTAGCGAAGTTATTATAATCCATTTGCTAGTAGGTCATCCAAATCTGCTTCGTTATTATTTGGGTAATTTTTTATTTCTTTATTTCTTGAACTTCTAAATTATTATTATAAGTTTTAGTCTTATAAATAAAAACAAATCTTATCGATGAGACCTCAAGTGCGAGATAAGACCATGGGTCAGTCAATATATGAGGTAATAAACACAGTATAGGAAGTATTTTTTTTATATTTCAATTGCCAATAATCGAATAAATAATTTTTTTTTATCTTAACCAACCTGTACAATGAAATATATAAGCAGGTGGAGTAAAAAAGGTACAGTACAAAGGTTTTTGGTGATATTTATCGACATTGGTGATATATATTATTTCTTAACATTGAATGTGCTTATAGTTTATACATCTTAATTAATTTGAATTATATCTGTACAAAGAGCGAATAATCAAATATATCGAAAGAAGATAGCAAGAGTAAAAAACGTAATTTAAGCGTCAATATTACTTAAGATATATAGATAAAGATTATTAGTATGAGGTATGTGTATAAAGACTTTTTGTTTTACTTATCAATAATTCTATAGTAAACAACGATTATCATTTAATATTATGAACAATCTTAGTAGTTAGTTGACGCTACCCCCTGCGGAAATCCTTGGGTCCCGGTTCGATCCCCGGCTGAGACAAACTCGATGTGTGAGCATTTGGTGTTGTGCTAGGTTTGGGTGTTTAAATATGATTTATATGTCTATCTATCTATAATATGTATTGTATAGCCGTTGCCTAGTACTCATAACACAAGCTTCACCAGCTTAGCATGGGACTAGGTCAATTGGTGTGAAATTGTCCAATAAAATAATAAAAAATAAAAAAAATAAATAGTGACGTGTACGTATAATATTGTGATTTCATATTCTATATCCATCCGGTCTATAATAAAATGTAGTACAATGTTCCTAATCCAGATTTGTTCTCTCATTACTTTGCGGATAATCTGAGCGGATCAGGCTTAATCTCCGAGTAAACCTTTTATCCATGCATTGAAATGTTAGTTTGCTACGCAGTATAATTTAATTGATGTCAATGGTTAAACTTCGTTGTATTTAAAATGTAAATCGCTTAGTTTCTACATATTAAGCTGAAGCCACCGCTTTTACAGTTTTATTAATGTCATCGGTCATAGGTAACAACACTGAAATCTAAGAATATCTACAGGGAAGTAAAACCAATGTCGAAAAGTCACATGATACGAGTGGAACCGGATGGAGGAATCCTATGTCCAACGGTGGACCAACCAAATTCTGACAATGCAAGCACATGATGGTTCCTAAATGTAACATTGTATTACCGACTGTTAAAAGTATAACTTTTGAAGTTATACTTTTTTGACGCGTTAGGGAAAAATGATAAGAGTATTTTTTTCTATTGTTATTGTCGTTTTTTCTACAAATGTAGAATGTAAAGGTGAAAGATAAAATTTTTGAAAAGATTTTTATATTGTTACGCCAAAGAAGTATATCCTATAAATTAAACAATAATTTAAGTATATATAATTAAGTTTTAGAAATAAAGGCAATTTTCTATTTATCATAGGTAACTAAATCTGATCACATAATTGGGCCGGGCCAGTTCGTGGTTATTTTTAGAAATATCTTTAAAAATTAAACATCATTTAATTTATAATAAGGACAGTAGATTATGTAATCTTACATTTAAGTTACAGGTCATGTTTTACGATGTCTATATTTATTAAAAAGTTTTTATTTTGATTAATTATTGGCCAAAGTTGACTACGATCGGGCCACATATATAAAGCTATAATTGGGTCAAAGTATTGAGTCCTAATTTCGGGCTTACTTTGTATCAGTATCGGTACTTATCGCGTGCTCCCGTACTTTAATCATCGCGTGCTTTAATGGTTGAGTGGACTAAACGTTTAAGCACTCATCAGGGATGTCACCTACCACTAATTAGTTATGTTCTTCGAATCACTTACGGTAGGTAATCTTCCTTAATAGTGCAAGATATTACAGTATGTGCAGGGAAACATAATTGTAGTCAATTATTAGGTTACTTATTAAGGTTACGACTTGACTTGAGTTTGTTGTTTTGTTCGTTCATAAAATACAACATGATCAATGTTCTGGGATAACAAAAAAATAAACAATTTTAACAAATCGATTATATATTAATAATTAAACTTCATAGTTTTATAGAGTAGATTTCCCTATATTTATTAATTTTTATTTAGCCGTAATGAATACCAATTAACGAAGTAAGAATACATAATTGTGTTGCATTATAGCTAATTAACTAGTCGGTAAAACGCATTACGAGGATACACACTTTTCATGTTTTTGTTAAGCATCAAATGTATAGGCTAATGTAACGAATAATAATATAATGGATTGAAAATTCTGCTTCCAATTTAAACTATTTTTACTCATTACTGCTTCATGTCCGACTTTGAGGTCCCAATTTTGAGGTTGTTGGTCGAAGAACCTTCATGACGACTTTTGTAAGAAGAATGGTATGAATGGTAGCCCTAAGTATAGATGCTTGAACACCCCATTGAGAATATGGAGCTCTCGGTTCTTCTGCCTCTGATGTCGCAATACTTTAGTTGTGTCGACATCCTTTTCATCGGATTTTGAAAGTCATGTTAATGTCAATGTAACAAATTACTGTTAAACGTCTCTGTGGGTCGCAAGACACTGGATGAGTTTCCACCGCATGTCGAACAATATAAGACATAAATATCCTATTATATAATGTAAAGTATTTTTGTGTGTGACAGAAATCGAAGGCCCAGACAAAATTGTAGCGCCGCTGTTTTTTTTTACACGCTTTACGAGTATATTAGCTTCACCTGTATGTATGTATGTAACCGACTCCTTTGGACTCGATTTTGACCTACTTTAAACGGACAGATTTTATTCAAATTTTGCGCATCTGTCAAAGATCGATGACAATGCAATAAACCGAAGAAAAAAAATTTTTACTAAAAAATAAAAAATAAATAATAGTTTAAAAAAACTATTATTTATTTGGGTTGCTCTATAGACGAAAAATATGGCACAGAGCGCCCCACGCTTTTTCACAATAATACCAGTATTTTTTGTTCATTACCATTTTCAGCCTAAATTAGGAATTATTTTTCACTTTTTAGTTTGAAGACTATTGATTTGTATTTTTAAAAGCTTATCGATTCCTTTGTCACAAATATCTGACAAACAATAGTAATTAACTAAAATCTCGTTAGCGAAGAAAAGAAACGCAACTAAACAAGTTGGCAACGAATGTCGTATCGTATAAGTTCAGGAGTTTGTTACGCGAAAGTTTCGGCGGAGTTAATGTACAGGCATTTGGAATATACGCTTTTGGCTTTCGTTAACATAAGTATAACCTTTATATACAAAAACTTTTGTCCCGAGTCAAATTTAGCAAATATTTGAACTGAGTATATAATAGTAACAGCTGTTTATTTATTAAAAGCAGTTTTTAAAATGTTAATGTAATATGCTCGTAAAATTTGAATAATATTTTAGTGTATAACTTATTTTCTGATTAAAAGACCTGTACTGATATACATTATCCTGAAATTGTAAATACAAAGATGTGTAATAAATATAATAATCTCGCGATATTGTAATATGTCGAAAAATTGTTTGTGTAGTGTTTGCAATTTTACTGTCACATTTGTACGGTACATAGTGTGTAATAAAATATCTCGGAGCGCTCAACTTATAGTACTTACAAAGCCACACCATCCCTGCAAAATGGACTGCCTGATGCCAACTCCCATGTTGAAGTCTTCCGAGGTGTGATGAACTTGATGTTGTGCCCAAAGTATATGGATTTCTAGAATTTAACCAAATAATTATGCTGGCGATTAGAATGTGCTTACACTGGTAGCAGCGATACAAAGGTTTCGATTTTCTGGATTTTTTTTCTTTGGTGGATACCTATACGTTACCCTATACGTTGGAAATCCAGAGTCAGAGCATAAACAAATTGTTCAAAACAACACGCCACAAAACATCAACGATTTGCCCATATATTTATAAAGAAAACGCTATAGAAATCTAAGGGCAAAGGCGAAAAGGAAGATCAAACGTTGACCATAGTGTGTACGGTTCCTGGGTAATCGGGGTTAGAGCATTGTTGGTTTAGTGGCTTTAGCGTGCGACTTTCATCCGTGAGGTCGTAGGTTCGATCCCTGGCTGTGCACCAATGAACTTTATTTCTATGTGCATTTAACAGTCGCTTGAAGGGTGAAGGAAAACATCGTGAGGAAACCGACATGTCTCAGACACAAAAAGTCGACGGCATGTGTCAGGGACAGAAGGCTGATCACCTACGTGCCTATTAGATTGAAGAAAGATCATGAAACTTATTCAGAAATCTGAGGCCCAGACCTAAAGAGGTTGTAGCGCCACTGATATATATATATTTTCTCTATATTAACTACTGGCGTACAACAACAGTATATAAGCGAAATAATGAAATGTTAATTGCTATGTAACGAATTAATGCAATGTAACAGTCGAAGAGAGTGCCTACGTAGACGTTCGGGGCGTAAGTCCGACGGTTTAAGAAATCGCCACGCTTTAAACCTAAGAAAGCCTGAGTAAATGTACTGCCTTGGCTCGTACAACTGGATTATTGAACAAATGCATACCATGACAAGCTCTATGCATCCAATAGTAGCAGAAATCCACCCCCAAGGCTGCCAATAGCCAAGTGGCGGTTGAGTCCCAGGGCAAGTCCACCATCTTCCAGTTGTTATAAATCCATGTGTAGGTATAGAATTCTGCACCGCGCCATAGCATCCTTAGAAAGGTATAAAAGTATCAACTAAGTAAAATAAAATATATTTATTATGGAACATAAGATACATGTATCACTTATTCCACGTCATTAAATTTGAATTTGTAGGCATCCCTACTCATCGGCAAAGAAGACAGCGGATGTAGGCCGAGAGAAGTAGAAGAGTATTAAGCACATATTGAGGGAATAAATAATTATCACTTGTTTAATATTTCTCCTCATCTGCAGAGGCAGAGTCTTGCCAGTACAATGTTTACCGGCTTCTATACTCTTTGAAATACTTATTGTAGTTAAGGAAAAATTAAGCCATTATTAAACTAGGCTATAGATTTCTGTAAGTTACCTGTAAGTATGTTTGGCACAGAGTGTTACTATGTAAAAACAAATACAAAATCTTGGAATCGAGAGTTTAATCTTATGTCATTATTAATCGGAATTTAGGTATAATTCGTAAAAAAATCGAAACACAAATTAATCGATCTGCTCTCAATAATTGAGCTTCTATATAATGAATGTTAATGCATCATTAATATTTAATTATGACCTATTAATGTTGAAAAAAATTCCGTTAAAATTTAGCACATTAGTGTTGCTCCGTGGATAAGTTCAACATTACACAATACTTAATAATAGGGCCAAAAATTGTAAAAGAATATTTATAATTGTTACGTAACAAATTAATAAATATAACTACTTAGGCTTATATGTTTATTATTTGTTTATAAAAAAACACTTTAGTGTTCATTTTAATGAACAATAACGAAACGAAAAGATTTAAGAATATTTTCTTCTATATTCTATTTTATTCTAGCAATCGATATTTATAATTGGGAATATTTACAATTATAAATATCAATTGTTAGAATATTCTCTTTGACTTAAATCTTTAATTGTCTAAATCAAATCATTTTAAAACTTCTTCGTCGAGTCTTCGTCTTGTCAAACAGTAAAAAAATCACGTCAAATTGATAACCTCCTCCTTCGAGTTTGTTTTTTCTTACTACTAATACAAAATTCCAATAGCTTTTTTGTATTAGCTATATTTATCTAATCAACTAAACTTCTGACGGGTCGCATGTCACCTCTGCGTGAAACAATATTTAATATTATTTCTTATTGGATCGTGAAGGTCGTTCCAGTGACGGAGTTGAACGCACATATACTCGTATTTTAAATCTATTAATAACATCCTGATCAGAACAGGATAGCTGAGAAGCACCGTTACTCCTTATGCGACTTGAGAGAGACAAGTTTCTGCGTGTATTTCTCATATAGTTTTGATTATAAGCAAAAATTAGCTTTCTGTAAATGACACATTGTCGATTTAGGGCAAAAACCTTGAGACATGATAGTTTCCTAACCGTACTATACAGTGTACATTGCTAGAAAAAAATACACAGCTTAGGTTAACGCACACGGCCTCAGGTTTAGAGCCACAGCCTTATTTCTATAGTAGTATACGAGTAGATATATGGCTAGGTATAATAGTAGTATAGATAGTAGTGGTAGTACTACTTTGGGCTATCTTTGAAGGTTATTAGTTTATAAAAAATTCGTACCTGCCACCTTCCAGGAACATGCCATTTGAGAAACTTGTAATACCATCATTCAGCCGAATACCTCGTTTACCTTTAAGTTTCAAAACAATATGCTCCAATATCATAAAGGTAAAGAAGTATGGCCATGACTGAAACAAAACATGATAGAAATAAAAAAAATAACGGAATAATAAATAATGATATAATTGAGTGTTTTAAAGCAGTCGTATTCAGCGAAGAACTGTCTTAGTTTTATTTAAATGTTAATAATACATAATATGTTGCAATAGAATTACAATGTAAATTTGAAAAAAATATGTTTTTCTAAATTTGGGTTAACGATAAAAGATATATTAATTAAAAAGTATTAGCGATATCGAATTATAATAAAAATTATGTTCCATGAACCTTGTAATTATTTCTAATAATATTATCACATTGTTTTATATTGAATCTGACAAAAACTGGAAAGAACAATGTATAAAAACAAATAATTAAAAATATTTAAGTTGGTTAAATACGATATTTATTCATTAAATTTTTATTTACAAAAAAAATTTTTTTACAAATAAATAGTATAAAATTTTCAAGACAAACAAACCTGCACATAAAAGTTGGGCACATCCCCTACACGCTCAAATCTGGTTTTCTTTGGGTCAATTAAATAAAACATTCGACCCACACCCTCCGCAAAATCACTCGGAGACGATAACACGGAACCGTTATGGTCCATTTTGACTTATCGGACTGTCACCGTTTAATTATTTATATAAAAGACAATTACTAAAGCGATTAGGCAGATTGATGCGCGCGTATTTCGTATGATTGTGCAAGGCAGCAGCGGTGGGGTGCTTGCCACGCACTGAAAAACTTCAGCATGTCAGAAACACAGGTTGGTTTTTATTAAGTTAGTTCAGCAATGCGATAAGTATTAGGACGTATAATGAAAATGTGCTTGTAGTCGAATTCTTTGGTTCATACAACAAAACGCATGATAACACAAGAAACCTTATTGTGATGTAATTTGATATTAACTCAGACTAATTGCTAACTGTAGCGTGATTTCTGCGATGTTTTGTGAGGGGGCTGGGATGTATTGTGTCTTGCTGATCATTTTTTCCTTATATAAAAGTTAGAACCTTAAATTTGTTGATGGTGCACTGAATGTGTTGATGCCAATAAATAACACCTGATAAGGAGTTGTGGTTCACTGTTCATGCAACCCCCACCATAGCAAAATTTGTTTACTAACCAACAGTACCAAGACTCAATCGTTACTAATTTAACAAAATATGGATCAATGGTCTGACATAAATTAAATTGTTTGAAATATTTGTTATATAGTTGTTAGGTAGCTGAAAATCTAATCTAGGTGGTGAAACTAATTTAATACTGGAACACTTAGCCAAGACGAAAAATTTACGTCTCATATCAATTGCGGATATTGGTTTGATTCTAGAACGGGCGGTGAAATTTCTTAGGAATAAAAGTTAGGCCTTACGCCTTAGCTTCAATGTTTAACTAACTATCAAATAAATAAGTTATTTTATTTTTATCGTAATATAAAATGTAGCTGGATTCTCACAAGCTCTTGAATGCAGTTCTGAATACATGTTTTATGACACATTGGTTAACAAAAAAAAAAAATTAAAGGATTGCTAGGAATGGTTATGTACCCCAATTGTTGTTCTTAGAGCCGCTTTGTAATTGCTATTTAATATTAAATATTGTTATAATTAATCAAAAACTAGCTGGTGACCGCGACTTTGTCTGCGCAGCATTAAAACTTTTTGAAGTGAAAAAAAAATTGTTAAGAGAACTTTTATTCATTTAATAAAACACTATTTTGACCGGATTGAAGTTATGTATTATTATAAATTTACAACTATTTAACATAATTTTAAATTTATCCGACGTTTCGCGTGCTTTACAGCGTGCGTGGTCACGGTGACCACGCAATTTATAATAATACATAACTTCAATCCGGTCAAAATAGTGTTTTATTAATTGTTAAGAGAATTATTTATGAAATATTAGTATTTTATATTTTATGCCAAATAATTTATTGAAATCTCTAATGACGAATTGTAAATTAAAATGCCACGTGTTTTTATTACACATTTGCTATGCAATTTTCTATAGGCGATCATGTTTAATGGGATTTACAATGAAACGAAAGATATATATATTGCTTCGACTTTAGACTATTATGATATTCGTTTAGTATTAGTAAAAAATACTGTGTTTATAGAGACTATCAGGGCAAAACATTATGTTCTAATCGCGATAAAAAAGTTATTGTATTTTTGATTTTATTCCTGGAATTTAAAAAATAGTATTAGCCATAAATTATATAAACAATAACCAGTACTCCTGTATTGCTTACCTAACTCCAGTATTCCTGGCAAAAATGCTAGTAATCAACTTAACGCAAAGAAAAAAAGAGATACTGAAATTTATTTCCCCATTTCAACGATACGATTAAACGATTTTTTCTAAACGGATTTGAAATTGTTAGAATGCGATTGCCCCTAATAGATAAGATAGAGATGCCTAGAATTAAGGCCACGAAAGGAATTCAAAGCCTCTTTGTGAATTAATTTAATAAAGTAAGTAATAAGTTTAACATACTTAGTGATCTACTTGAGGATCGACCCGGCTTTGCACGAGAATTTGAAAACCTTAGTGATATGGTATTTAAGTAATTTAGATGAACCCGTGTAGTTTATTGTGTTTTTGGCATGAGGCTCTAACATTTAACCACTGACTTCTGTCACGACCTGAGTTGTATGTTGCCAATTTCGTTGCTTGGAGACTTCTAAAGCGTTTGCGGTCTATGACGTTAGTGCGTCATCTTTTGACTTCTTCCAAGGACATCTAGTCACTTCATATTATGTGTATCCAAAATTGGAGCATGAACCCTCAATGGGTTAAGAACGGAGAGATCGGGATTCAAACTCACCTCTGGCTTAAGAATCACCCGCCTAAGCACGAGACCAACAGTATCTCACATTCACGGGCGTAATATAATATTTTGGTAAAAGGGCTTACGATATTAATATAATACTACAGTATTAAATGTCAACGCAATACAAGAAGTACGAGGCGACAAAATCATCGACACCTAACGTTTCACAACCTGTCTGGTATTTGCAAGTGATTAGTGATACTAGATCAAATAGACAGGCGCCTGCAATAAATCTTGTCAAGCGAAACCTAATGTCCCAACGGGTGTAATTAATTACCTCTTGATAGTAAACAGATAGTTGATTCTATTAAATATATACTGTAACCATCTTCTGTTTATACTCTGTACCATTATATAAATTGTAATGTCGTGGACTCCCTATTTATTGCTCTCATACGGGAAGTATAGTGAAACAAAGTCAGTTTTACGTGTCCATCGAAGGCTTGGGGTGTTCAAGCACCGGAAACTTTAATTTTCTAATATAGTTCCTTTCTAGCTTCAAAACATTTGATGTCTTTTGTTTTATAAAAAATTGTCACTTGGATGTCAAATATATATCTACGTCAAATAACATTGACATAGGTTTATATTAGTTGTACTGAAATAGACAACGAATCGAGGCTCATTGTTCAGTATTATTATTCGGTGATAGTATTTAGTTAGTATACTAAATCATAGATTAAGTTCAGACATCTGGTCAAATAGTTAATAAAAGCTATTTACTATTTAATTTTTCATCATTAAAAATATTTTTTAGCGCCATCTGTTGAACGTATGAGATACTAAGATACTAGCTTGTTTGACTAAACGCCAAGGATTTTATTTTTCATAAATCCCCATAGATGACACTATTTTACATTTTGTGTATATTTACGGGAGGATCATGCGTTTTCGTCTGCTCGTGCGTGTGTAGACTAGACAATAATATTTATATCGTACAACCTTATATAAAATATTTTAAATAATACGTATATTTACTTACTCGATTATCCAGAATGCAATTAACGTAAACATAAAACACAAAAATCAACTATAAAATAAACTAAGATTTATGGAATAGAGAGAAAGCTTGCCTCACACTCAAGTTCTATAATATCTCTTGTGTAATTGCCAGTCTCAACAGAGAGTAGCCGCCAGGGAAGCAGATATTTAAGTAAAGGATAGAGAATAAATATAAACGGAACGTGCAAATAAATACTTAATGCACTTCCTTTTGAAACTTTATGCGGATACAATGTGTTTATATTATGGTTTTTTTTTGTTGTATAGAGTTGTATCTGTTTTGTTTCCCAAATAAATAAATAAATAGCAGGGTGCCTAATTTATGATATCCAGGCATGTCTAGTGTCAGTCTAGATGTGTATTTTTTTTTTATTAATTGTCCTATATAATAGTTAAACTTTACAAAGTTGCTACTACCCCAGACAGAAACTTAGTACTACTATTTGTGTGTCTAAATTATGCTAAATCATAAATAGTACAAATTATGAGAACATAGATATATAGAGCATAACCGTACGTTTAGTAAAATAATAATCTTTCACTTCATGATAATCATTTATCGGACGCAACAATTTCACACCTGCGCGATGCGTCGATAATGATAATAAACAATTATCGCTGAAGTTTCACGACCATACCGCCTTGCAACAGTAGGTATAATTTTTAGCTTTACTTAATCTTACAATCTCAAAAATATTTAGCCAATGATCAAGTGAATGAATGCCAACGTTGTTATTGCTTATTCATTATACTTATTTATTTAATTTTTCCGTACACACCTGTAATCTATACGCATTATACATATACAAATTAATAAAACATCAAATATTGATAGTTTCACGTTATCTTGGATGGGATAAATGGGATGCACTTTTTGTAAATATCGTGCGACCTTATTCTTTTTTATGGGGAATTACACTTGATCGAATCTTATCGGGTCACTTATTGACATATTGAATATTGATTACTAGTTGAAGCAATATTTTTTAAGTTTCATAGTTTTAATAATAGAAAAATATAGTTTGAAGAATAAAATTACATAACGAGTAGTACAAACGAAACGGTTTCAATTATTATTCAGTGTATACTTAGGTAACATTGAAAATGTTTAGAAAATGAAAAACGGCCTAATGTAGAAAGTTGCCAATACTTTTATTGTTTTTCGAAGTAATCTCCGTTCCTCTATACACATCGTCGCATTCGATGGAACCACTAAGAAAAGCAGTGGGCTCATTCTTCCTTAGGGACTCTTCTATGAATTTTCGTACACTTTCACCGCATCTTCAGGACTCATAAAGCGAATACCTCGAATTTTATCTTTAGTTCTTGGGAATAAATGAAAGTCGCAGGTCGCCAGGCCAGGACAACAGGCAAACAGCGATTGACATATCAGTGTGCAGTAACTGCCCTTCCATCTTCTAGCACAACTGTCGCAAAATGACCTTTCCGACCAAAGAATGAGGCAATTTCTTTTTTCTTGACTTCTTGCTTTCTTTACCTTAGTTGGCCGATCCTAGAAAGGAAACACCCACTGAGCAGATTGTTTCGGCTTTTGGTTTCGGGTTCGTAGCAATATATCCAGCTTTCATCACCTGTGACGATGTCAAATACAGCATTTGAGTCACCGCCGTTGAACTTATCTAACATTTGGCGACGCCAGTCCATGGGAAGGTGTTTCTGGTCGTTGGTTAAAGTATGGGGAATCCATCTGGGACAAAGCCTTCTGACGCCTAAATGTTCGTTTAATATTTTTTGAACTTGACTCATACCAATGCCTAGGCTTGCCCGTATCTGCTGATAGGTCACTCTCTTATCTTCCTCTAACTTGCGTCGCACAACACTTAGCGTTAAAGGTCGTCCCTCACGCGGATTATCATTGAGATTGCTACGTCCACGCTTGAACTCGTTAAACCAATTGTAAATAGTGGCACGAGATGGGGCTTTATTTAGAAATGCTAATCGCAGCCCATCATAGCTTTGTTGTTGAGTAAGCCCACTACGAAAGTCATAATAAATCATTGACCGAAAACTTTCTCGCGTTAGGTTCATTTTCACGTGTATAAAGAGTTTTAGATTTGCCGCCAATTCACAAAAACAAATGACAAATGATTGCAATATACTACATTAGGTTACCAAAGAGTTCTAAAATTTACATTCAAGAAAAGTTTTCAATAGAAATGTTTCTAACTGGCCAGTTCTCAGGATTTTCAGTGTTACCCACGTATTCTATATGAATTATGTTTATTTTGTCAATGAAGTGAAAAACTGAAACTGAAAACTGAAACCGTGGGGTTTTAGTGGGTATGCACAACAGCGAGTCCCACATTACCCTTTCCCAACCAGGTCAACCGTACCGCGGGAAGGTATGCGTAACGAAAAAAAAGGAATGGGGGGATGGCCCAGTCACGGACAGTAATAAAAGCGAGTTGTAAAGGGTTGTAAGTTAAGTTAAGGCTTAAAAAATTCAAATTAAACATTCATAATTATAATGCAAGATGGCGTCGCACCAGTTCCTATGTCGAAGCAAACGTCAAGTTTTTGTGCGTTAATTATCATTCTGCGATTGCATAATTTTGCTAATTTTAATTTGAATTTTACTAACATAGTTATAAGTATTACTATACTAACAATATATGGACTAATAATGGTCTGAATTAAATGATTTTAAATTCTTTGTGTGTCTATCTTATTCGCGAGAGTGTTTTATTGGGCTCCCATTGGACCCATCGCCGCCAATCACCAATTCAGCCTTTATGTCTTTAACTCTTCTTTCGTTTCGTTCCCTTATTCCTCAAAGAATTCCAAAAGAGTTTAGAGTAGGTTAGTTATATATAATATACATCGTGTTATGAAACTATTTGAAAATAAGTACATATATAGAATAATAATATTAGTTGCTAACAATATGTACAATATAAATATAATAGTAGTAAAAGGTACAAAATCACATATTTTCTAATTTTTGGCTGCAAAAATTATATAATTCATTTTTTCGGTATTAATACTGAAAAAAAAATTTGTTATCCAGGTACTTAAGCAGTTTAAATCATTTTGTACATCCTTGACGATTGAATCTATAGTACTACCATAGTAAAACAAATTTGTGTTATTATTATATTGTTACAGCGTAATATCACCGTTTAGCTCTAGGTATAGTGGCTAATATCATTGATGAAAATCAAAAATAAAAGTGGTCCTACCATAGATCCTTAGGGCACACCACAATTTATTGGAGTACCATCGCTAATAAACGTTCCTATCTTGACTAATTGCTGGCGGTCCTAAAGATAAGATCTAAATAATTTTAATGCTGTTCCTGTTACGCCAATATAGTTAAGTTTTTTAGGTAAGGTTTGGTATTTATATCACCTTAAATATTATACCAATTAAACACAGATTCATTTTTAAATACCTCATGTCATAGTCTTGATTAGATAATTATTAATCAGTAGATAATTGTTTATATAAATGAATCAGAATTGATCAGATTTTACTCTGTCAACATGTTCCGACTGTTTGTCATCGCTTGTGTATTCATATTTGTTAATGGAGAACCGACTACAAACGTGAATCGATGTAAGTTAATAATGAAATAGCTATTTTATATACTTTTAGTAAACTATTTCTGCGGATAAACAAATCCGCGTGCAATAATTCTTGTTCCGCACTAAACGATTTCTTTGATGTATCGTATTCAACATCCTTGTAGTATACGAGTATGTGTACATCATCAAATGCATCAACTTTCTTAGGCTTTACCTTAATGGTGGGGTTTAAAGTTCGTAGGCTAATATAGAAAATCGTCTTTTCTATTAAATTTGATATGATTATTCGATATAGTTGCCTTCGAGAGCGATACAGCAATTGTAGCGGTCATAAAAAATTTCGATACCATTTTTATAGTACGATTTGTCTTTAGCCTCAAACTACGCTTCAGTTTCGGCTATTACCTCTTCATCGGAGCAAAATTTCTGTCCAGCGAGCACTCTCTGAGAACAGGGAAAAGTCGCTGGGGGCCAAATATTTCCAAAAGAATTCGGATTTATTACAATTGAATAGCTTCAAACTCTGCTAAAAAGTTATCAATTCATTGTTGTTTTAGATCGATCGTGAGTTCGCGGGTGCCCACTTTGAAGAGAGCCTTCGCAGGGTCTCAGCTATCTTAATCAACTTCACGTTTCTTTAATACACAATTACTGGTGCAGAGTCCGAATAATGTTTATCAAGCCAAGCCTTGGTTTCAATAGTATTTTTTTCGCCAAAAAGCAATTATTAACACCGAAATTCCATTTATCCATTTATTTTAAATAAACAAAAGTTCCTTCACTCATTTCTACACGTATCTTTTGTAGGTCAAAAACTAATAATCATATTAATTTAATACTAGTAGCGCCATCTATGTGTCAGCCTACGAACTTTTCAGGCCTCCGATTACATTATTATAATATATAACGATGCTGGTGTGTTTCCTTGCTAAGTATTTAAACTTTAACATTTATACAATTAATTTTACTTAAAATGTAAAAAAATCTCTTGTTAGTATGGAAAAAAATTGGTATTATTATTTTTGTCATTGTCTGTTCTTTTTTAGGTAATCAAAATTTAGGTGAATTACCTCTCCATATATATATAGATGGCTGCATTGACCCACCCTGCCGAGTGGTGACGGGTGAGGATGTGGTGGTCAACGTTATCTTTAAAGTTCGTAAGTAAATCTCGAAATTAACGATAGCTATATTGTAATCGTCGATTTTCCATAAGATTTTCTAATACATATTTAAAGGACTTCGTGATTCCGATTAATGTCAAATTCGTTAGCGCTACTAAAGTAATCCGTACAAAAATCACGATAGGAATTTATATTATGGCAGCTATTCGATGTTAAAAATTATTCAAGCTAATACCTAGTTTGTTTAGTTATTTAGGGAATACGAAACCTCCTTGCCTGTTATAAAAATTGTCAGTGACATGCAAAATAGATTCACGTTTTTATGACTAGTTGATTCGTTGTTTAAATGGGGTCTCGCTCTTACTGTAATATGTGGTGCGTTCGAAAACTAGCCTACGGCAACAATAGCTTGACTTAGCACTGCATATAATAACATATTCGTGACATATTTAGGAATGCTAGTTAGAGAACATGCGGTTGTTAATTACACTAAAGTAAAATGTATGACTTTTAAGTATTCGCTTTGACGTATGTTGTAATTTTATAATGTGATCACTCATCATTGGTGGGAATTATTTTTTATTTATTTATAAAAACACTCCTGCGACCCAGAATTGACCAGAGTGAATAAAATTTACAGACTAAACAAAAAGAAGACAAACAAGAAATTATCGACTAGAAACAATATTACATAATAAAAAATACAAGAAATTCACTTACAAATAATATAATTTTTTACAGTTCACTCAATGAAAAAGGTCCGTTAACCAATGTAAATCGTTAAATTAATTATTACATTGCGCGTCTAGCTCTTATTTCTTTTCTTCACATTATTTTCTCGATAAATTTTCCACTTCCATAGGAAATAAGATTTGGACTAGAACCACTCCAGGATCTATGAACTAAATCAGTAAATAGATCCAACCATTAGAGAAACTGTGTTGTCGCTACCGCATTCCAACGGGGACGGAAATCAAACCTAAGAGTTTAATATTGATTTTTTTTCAGCTCATACAACTCGCAGCATGACTACCAAAGCAATAGCCTTATCATTAATAGAGTATGATCTTAAGGAGTATGCTGTGACATGCAATTTTCTTCGGAACACATATTGCCCAGTTTTCAGAGATGAAGTAGTTGAATATACCCTGCGTATGCACGTAGAGTCGTGGTTTCCACCTGTAAGTATCTTTATATTATTTTAAATCGGTTGCACTTACTAAAAAAATTAGTTTTTCGAGAAGCACATGACTTTACAAGTGGCAATTTCCGTAAGCGCATTATTACATTAATGCAATTTATAGACCATGTAAGATCACCAAAGACTATATAAGTTACATTTTCCAGTTTAAACTAGATTTAGATTTTTGGACTAAATATGTTTTTGTTCGTACAGGCCCCATCTATTCCCATAGTGTTTCGAGTTATAGACGAAAAAGACGACCCTATTTGGTGTATCAGCACTATGATTGAAGTGATAAGACCGTCAAAAACAATAAACAATGAGACATTGAATAAATAAAAACTTTTTAAATTTTAATTACATTTTCAATTTTTATAAATTTAAATATTTTCCTTTTCCATAAATGCCTTAAGGAATAAACGCGTGTGAGTGAGTTATCTTTAAATAATGTTGGACCGTGGCTATCTTATCAGAATAACAACATATTGTCAACAAACGAAAAGGTTTCATAAAATAAGTATTAACTACCGGCCAAACTGCCAAACGGAATAATGCGCGTTAGTAACAATGAGTGAAAATTACACCTGTGAGCTACCCTCGTTGTTACCTAAGACCATTTATGCTTGCTACACAATTTGATAATCGCTTTTTTATATATATAATAGGAAATGAAACAAACAAACGCTCATTGTAGTGTTGACTGAGCGTAATAAAGTACCAAAAATGTAGGTACCAACGTGATCTTGTATTTGTCGTCCATGTATCACAATCACGGGCAATATAAAAGGTCTTGACGATTAGTAGCAATGGTAGGTCAATACGAAAGATCGATGTCTTGTGAGGTCAATTAGAGAGAGCTATGTTTTCCTATCACGGCCAATAAGATAGGTCTTTCCCAGTCAAGTAGCCAAGATCAATATGAAAGATAGTGTGGTTTTGTGAAGTCAATATCTTTTTTAATACGTGTCTTTACAAAGACATTATGGAACATTACGATCTAGCCTAACTTAAGACTAATAAGTCTAATCTAATTTACTAATAAGGATTTTTAACATAAGGAAGTGTCCAATAACACTGCTTACAGTCTCTATTAAAGGGAAGACACTCTGTTCTTGTGTTCTATTTTTTCACTTAATGTTTAGCACCTAATAGAATTAGTGTTACGTGCAGTAACACTAATGAACTAGTTCAAATGGTTTTGTCCTTTTCAGTCTTCTCACTAGGCGCGTGGTGTCAAGGAGTTGATTAGCCTCGACATTCACGTGATGGTGGAGCCTATGTTCGTGGGCTCCGGTAGTCTTTTTGAAGTGAAACTTCTTTAGGCGCATGAGGGTAAAATTTTAACGGATGAAACGCAATAATATTAATATTAGCGTCACGAAGATGTGGAGCGTTTTTGTCGAAGAAAAGGGAGAGAGCGATTGAGGCAGAGTAAGAAGGGCGATTTACTTTATAGAAATTCGTTTTTTTAATTAAAATTTCGTAAAGAGAATTTATGAAATATTAGTATTTTATATTTTATGCAAAATAATTTATTGAAATCTCAAATGGCGAATTGTAAATTAAAATGCCACGTGTTTTTACTATAGAAGAAATAAATTAAAAAAATTAAATTAAATTCCTAACATATCTTCCTTTTTCTTTACCTCTAAGTCTCGGAAATCTAAAGATTTAAATGTGTATAAATATGAACAAGACTTTAAAATTTGTTTGCCAAAGAAGTTTCACTTCTGACTTGACATGTACAAAGTACGCGCACACTTTTTTTATTATTGTGGCGACGTCCTCTACATTAAAGTCCCGACGGAGGTCGTAATTGCGAATGTACCAAGGAGCATTGACTATTCCCCTGGGCACTTTGTTTTGGAATCGTTGGATTATTTGGATGTGGCTATTACTGGTACAGCCCCACAGCTGGCAACCATAAGTCCATACAGGTGTAAGGACTTCTTTGTAGATCACTAATTTAATTTGTACTGATAACGTGGAATGCCTTCCAGTACAATTTAGTGTAACGGAGATCAAACTTGTGGCGCTACTTAAAAAGTAGGACCATGGACCTTCCATCGGAGTTTGATATCCAGATTCATACCTAGGTACTTAGCTGAATTTTGGAATTGCACTTTGACGTTATCAATATACATATTAGTCCATTGAAATGCTACATTATCTGAACATTTGTTAGAGGACGTAATTTTATTTATGGGACAGTAGGGGGGTCAATACAAACTTAAACCCAAGTTTGTGAGGATGGCGCCCTTGTCCCCCGGCCGCCATCTTGGAAAAAGGGGTGAAAACACGTTTTTGCCTATATCTTCTAAACTATCCATAGACAACAAATCGAGGCTCGTTGTTGAGTATTATTATTCGGTGATAGTATATTTTCGATAATATTTATGTATTGTACCGGGTCAGCAAGTTAATGACACTAATAGCTTTTTTCTATTTCACTTCATATCAAATATACACACTTCATAATCAAAAATATTTCTTGAGTGTCATCTGTTGAATGTATGAGATACTATGCTTATTTGACTGAACGAATAAACGTCAAGTTATTTTTGATAAATCCCGATAGATGCCACTATTTTACATTTTCTGTATATTTACAGGAGGATCATGTCTTTTCTACTGCTTGTGCTTGTGTAGACAAGAACTAGCGTTCTAATACAATCATATTTATCAGCGGTCGAATCGAATCATAACGGAATTAATTGAATCACTTTAAATCCTTTTAATCTACGGCGGTGATTAATTATTTTTTATTGTTTTATATTGATAGTAAAAAAATTATAACGTAAAACCTAAATATAATATTTTAAATAATACTTTGATTAATTTACTCGATTAGCCAGAATGTAATTGGCATAAACATAAAACACAAACATTAACTCTAAGCTAAGATTTATGGAATAGAGAGAAAACTTGTTTTACAGTCAAGTTCTTTAATATATATTGTGTAAATGCCAATCTCAATAGAGAGTAGTCGCCAGGGAGGCAGATATTTAACTAAAGGATAGAGAGGAATTATAAACGGAACGTACAAATAAATACTTATTGAATTTCTTTGTGTAAAGAAAGAACACCTATATTAGGCCGGGTGATAGTGACACAAAATGGTTAGTCATTCGGTTCTACAGGGGTCTTATTACGAAATTAAAAAAAGAATTTTGATGGTCATAGCGCTGGTACCGGCGGTTCATAGATACGTACATATTTGTAAATATATAGGCAGTATATTAACAAATACGTATCTATGAATTAACTAATATTAGGTCCTTACATATGAAATTGGCGTTTTTCGTACAGGCCACTTTAATAACGATGTTCTCCTCTTTGGTAAGGAATTCCAAATTCAAATTTGTACAGCTATTTACTCATGTATTTGTGCTTCGATGACCGTCATTCATTTGTTTTTTTCTTCTGTTTTTTTTCTGTTTACGTCACTCATTTTACAAAATGGAAAACTTAAAGTATCGCATTATTTACGAGTACGAGTTCCGCCGTGGCACTAGTGCTGTGGAAACGACTCGAAGGGTGAATGATGTGTATGGCGATTGGCGGTCATGTTGCAAAAGAAAACACAGTTCGTTTTTGGTTCCAACGTTTTCGTTCTGGAAATTTCGACCTGCAGAACAAGCCCCGTGGACGGCCTGAGACCCAAGTTGATAATGAAGTATTGAAGGCTATTGTGGAAGCGGATCCATCGCAAACCACGTCCGAGTTAGCTGCAGGCTGCGGTGTTAGTGATAAAACTGTTTTAATTCACTTGAAGCAAATTGGGAAGATTAAAAAGCTTGAAAGATGGGTACCTCACGAATTACTTTGATTAATTTAATATATTATATTTAAAAATATTCGACTTTTTGTTCCTCCCATACAAAACGCCAATTTCATATGTAAGGACCAATATGTATAATATGAAGTAGATAAGGCAAGGTGTCTACTCCACTACTACTACTACTATAGATGTTTACAAATTGTATTAATTGTCCTATATTACTATTACAACTAATACTGTGTAATAACCAAAAATTTGAGTTAAAGCTTTATTTATTTTAATACATTATATAATTAATCTATTATATTAATATTAAGCCCCATATATGTCGCATTATAAAATGTCATGATATGACGCAACGCACCTCGCGCCCTGATTGGTTGTATCAATTGAAATGGCGGCGGCGCTGTGAACATAGTCTTACCCAAAACACCCAGCTTTTTGGAAGCCAGTTTGGCTTTTTCTTCCAGATGACTGAGGCTGTGTGAAGTACTAAGGTGAGTGCCTACAAATTGAGGAGAAACGACGAAAGGATCTTTCTTGGCAGAAAATGAACAAAAGTGAGTCTTTGTAGCGTTAATCTTCACAAGGTTGCTACTACCCCAAACAGAGACTTACTACTACTACTACTTATGTGTCTAAATTATAATGAAACGTAAATAGCACAAATTATGAAAATATACATTTATAGTATAATCGTGAATTTCGTAGTATTGCAATAATATTTCACCTTTCACCGCGATGCGTCAGGATAATGTTAATAAACAATTATCGCTAACGTTTTACGACCATACGTCCTTAGATCAGTATAATGTTTAGCTTTACTATATTTTACAATATCAAAAATATTTAGCCAATGACCACGTGACTGGGTACCGCAAATGTTTTTGTTTCTTTTTCTTCATAATTCTTTATTTCCTTTTCCGTACACGCCTGTGATCTATACGCATTATACATATACAACATAGTAAACATCATACATTGATAGTTTCACGTTATCTTGTAACAAAGTATAATGGGATGCACTTTTCTATAAGTATCGTGCGACCCTATTCTATTTTATGGGCAATTACACTTGATCGAATCTTATCGGGTCACTTATTGACATATTGATTACTAGTTGAAGCAATATGAAAATAACTAATAATATTTTCATAGTTGAAATGAGGTTTAATTAATAGAAAAATATAGTTTGAAGTATAAAATGATATTAGGAGTTACCAAATAATTTTCATTTAGTATCTGGCAACAATGACTTTAATAGTACAACAACAGTTAAACAATAAACTACAAGCTCCCTCCTTATCAGAATGCCAAATCGCAAAATGACTGCTTCACGATTGATTTGAGCGCGACCGCCGCTGCGAAAACCGCTGTTTGAGTTCGAAAAGTGAGTTACAGAATCGCAAGGCTGCTTTTTTTATTGAAGTGAAACTTCTTTAGGCGCATGAGGGTAAAATTTTTACGGAACGACACGAACACGTGCAGCGTTATTGTCGATTTTTTTTTTCTTTAATAAATATGTGCTAATATAATATTGTGGTGCAATTATTCATAC